GTGCAATCTATCTGCATGTTGCACGTCATGTTTAGCTATGTTGCACTTATGGTTTTATTATATTGCGGCAAACGATTTATGATCCAACCATTTATTTGCGAGCTGTGACCAAATCTTTGCTTGCGGCTGCTGCCCTTGGCCACTGCAAAATTTATGTGCGCCGAAGACCAACCGCAAATAGCAACTGGCAACTGGCAACTGGCAACTGGCAAGTGGCAAGTGGCAAGTTAAGACAATGTTGCACAAATGAACTGCCTTAAATAATAAGCGAAGCGAATAGCAAAGGACAAGAAGTGCCTTAAACAAATTTTGGCAAGCGGCAAAAACTGTGAGGTTTTCTGTTGTCGCAACATAAATCGTTTTATTGAGCGTTTTAAGCAAATGGTGCTGCAACTGTGCCAGAAGGATAGCTGTCAGGATAAACTCGGCCTCCGACATGGTCAGCTAGCGGGCGCTCATAAGTCGGCAACAGAAATTTCCAAACGCCAACTGGTACTGGCTAATTATGTGCACATTTGGCAGCACTTGGTCAAACGACAGAAGTTCTTGGCCAACTTGCGAGCTGACATTTCATTTTACAGCAACATGTCGAGCTTGGGCGAAATAAAAACAGTGCCCATAAATTGTATTTAGCCAAGTTTTGCTGTGTCGCCTTCAGATTTTTGGCCCGCCTTCCAAGCCAAAAAAGAAGACCAGACAAGTGCAAAGCGCGATAACAACAATAAGTTGCAAACGGCAACTTGCTCGAATGCACAAGGCAAGAGTCGATAGTTTTGGAATAGTTTTGGCATTGCCAATGCGCCGTTTGGCCCTTTGATAAAACATTCGAACAGTCAGCACCGTTTACTGTCAGTCCGACCCGGAGTCAGTCGAACTGGATGTGGAAGTCGAAGTGCTTGGCTGTTTCTAATTTATGGCATTTTAACAAGCAGGCAGCATGGAACGAAAACAGCCAAATGGGGGGGACAGGCAGTTCCGTTACAGTTTCTTGCTGCAAATAGGCATAAATTTGCATTTAATGCAGCTGAGAATGAAAAGGGCAAAAATGAGGAGCGCAAATGCCAAAAATTATTTTGCTATTTAGTAAGTGTATAATTTCCTGGTCCCGTCTGGCTAGCGCCAGGACTCTGGGTCCTCTGCCTGGATGCCAGATCGCAGGTCGCAGGTCGCAGGTCGCCGCTCGGCAGGTGCCATAAAAGCGGCATAAATTTTTAAACTTTTACAAAAAATTTGCATTGCAAATGTCCTAAACACATACACACACACACACACACACACACACATGTGACTCGCTGTTGGCTGTAGCATTTTTCGCGTTTTGCATGCGGTTTTAACAGCGTTTGGGTCAGTCTATTAAAATGCAAAAACCCACGGCGCGTTGCCTCCTTTACCGTCCGGAAGTCCATTTTGTCTTGTCGTTCACGTCATAAATATGGCCGGGCAAATGGCGTTGCTGTTTACGGTTTAGTCTTCCCCGTACATGACTGTGTGTGTACGTGTGTGTGTGTGTGTGTGCGTTTGTTTATGTGTGCCCCTTTTAATGACAATTTGCTGAGGGTTTGCATTAAATTGAAGCGAATTTCACTTGACACACATACGTGAACGTGGACGTGTACGTGTGTGTGTATGTGTGTGTGTGTGTGTGTGTGTGTGTGTGTATAGCTGTGCCCGCGCTGTGCACTTTACTCCATTCGTCGTGCGTGGTTTCTTGTGGTTTTATTTTTACGGCATAAATTTAAATAATTTCCACTCTGCATTCACTTTTACAACTTGCTTTTTGAAATGTGTCTGTCTAGGTACTAATCTATATATGTTTGTATGAGTGCGCGTGTGTTTGTGGCAAATGCCTGCTTTAGTTGGCATCTGATGACAGCGGCTTGGTATAACATTCTGGCTGGCATCAGGTCTTGAGGGTTGTCACCCTACTCAAGTCAACTCTAGATTTTCTGTTGTCAGTCAAGTCTTAGGGCTTTCAAACTATCATACACTAGTTGCTGCTTGTGATTTTCTTAATACTTTTTGCCCTTAGTCATTCACGCTTCAGTTCTAACAAACCCTTTTGAGCCGAATTTTTATGTTTCAATTCCACGCCATTTCCTGATATACTTTATGATATACATCAACTCGTTTCCATGTTGTTCTGCTTCTTTTTCTTAATATGTGAAGTATCAAATCAAAGCTTACATCTGCAACCATAGACTATTTTACAACTAATGTATACTCAAAAGTTTATATGAATGCAATTTAATTAGACCCAAATCATATATTTTTTTAATCAATTCAATTTCGTTTATTGTCAGCCAGAATTGTCTCTATCTCTCTAATCTCTATCTCTATTTACATTGAGGGGTATTGACAATGAAAGGCGCCTCCAAAGGACACATCCCTGGAACCTAGCAACAAGGCGAATTATTTAAATCCCTTTCACTATTAGGCTATGTCCACAACCCCTTCATTGTAAGTAGCCCAAATAATATGGAGAGCGTTACACAGAGAACATATATACACTATTTATATGCTGTGTCTTATTTTTTGAATATTATTTTCCGGTCGAATGCCCTAACATGACAAAATTTACTAGCCAAGACGAAAAATAAGACGGAGCTCTCGTTGCCTTTGCTGCTTGTCACTTAACGTGAAAAACAATTTTTCTTCAGCTATGAAGCTATGCCATGCACATGCTATACGTGTGTGTGTGTGTGTGCGTGTGTAGCTATCAAAAAACCAATTTTCGCTGCTAAATTGATGTTTATAGCAATGTACGATGATGACAACGACGAGCTAGATGATGTTGCCGTCGATGGCAATGATGAGCTTGTTGTGACCACCGTGCACCCGTGCACCCGTGCGCCCGTAAGTCCCTGCCCCTGGCCGACGCCAAGACCGCCACCAGCTGATGAAGACAAAGTGCCAATGGGAAAAACTAAACGCCAAGCCGCCTGTCTAGGGCCTGACTTGCTACAATGCGCCATGAAAATCCTTTTCGACTCAGCTCAACTCAACTCAACTCGAGTCCCTCCTCTCGACGCGACTTGACAGCATTTTGATGCTTCCGGTTGTAATTTATGTGACACTTGCAGCACCATAGATCAGTAGCAGGCGCCGCGGGCCATGTTATGGCATTGGCTGCGTTTTTTTTGTTTCTGTTGCCGAGTTTAGTTTTTATTAGGTATTTGCAGCCAGTTTATGAGCAATTGATTTGCTCGAGCAAATGCCATCAGGTTCAATAAGCGTGCAATGTTGCTGCCCAATCGTTTAATTAAAACGGAAGTCTACACACACACATAACACACACTTGCGCGCGCAATTTCCTTTTGTTTGACATGCGAGCTGCTGACGCCAGCTCATGAGCAGCATCAATGCAATTACATATGAATTGAAGCTCACTCAAACATCAGCGCCATTCACTTAGGGGCATAATGCACTTTTAGCCCCTCGCCGTTCTACATGTCAACTGCATATCCTTTTACGCTTGCCCCCGTCTATCATACGCCCCGTCACTTGCTACTTGCCACTTGCCACTTGCCGCTTTATTGTGAGTAAATTAAAACGTTTGGCTGCACGCTTGGATTTAATGAATGCTTTTCTCGTGATTACAATTCGATGCACTTGAGCCGCTGTCGGCACACCCCAAAGCTTAAGCCGGGTTGCATCTGGCACAGCCACAGGCTTCAGCTCATGCATTTGTCTAAGTCACATCAAAGCCCCGATGTCATATTCATCGCTCTACCACTCTCCTTATGTTAAGTGGCGCATAAGCGTGGCTGTCGACGGCATTAGAGGCAATTAGCCCGACACAGAGATATCACAAAATTAATGCTATTTATGAAAAGACAAGTGCGCAGGCCTGGAGGAGGCAATACCACATATACCACATATACTAAAGTGTATCTATAGATACACTATGTTTCGACATGTGTGTGTGCTTGTTAAAATTAAATTTGTATTTCCCCAGCTCGATATTATTATAGCCATTCAAAAATTAATGTTTCACATTGTAATAGCTAGCTTAGTTGGCAAAAACTATTAAATCTGCTAGTTGGCAATGGCTACTCGTTAAATATAGTTTTAAATTTGAAAAATATAGCTTTTGTTAGTCTTTGTTTGCTTTGTACACAGTAATAACAAAAAACAGCGAAGAGTGCATAAGTCAAAGGTACCCGAATGGAAGACACCCTGTAATAAGCTGTGAGCGCCTTTAGTACGTACTTTCTTATATACATACATAAATAGACAAATGTGTTATTTAATAAACTTAGTTTTAAAATCTTCATCGTATTTCTTTTCATGGGTTCATCTTTTTGTATCAAGCAATAAATATATCGAAAATTAATTTTTTGTGTAAAAAACTTTGTAGATTTTCAAGCTATCAGCAAGCTTTTTTCCAATATATGACAAACTTTGATCAGCATAGGACTGTTCACGTCATAGAGAACTTCATAAACGATCGGTAAAAAAAAAGTATTTTGGTCAAAACAGTTAAGCGGTAATTTCAGTATGTTTTTCACAATTTCGAGAAAGCTTGTGAATATTGGACTTATATTTCAAGGTTAATTAAAGCGGGAGGTAGAAAAATCGAAAATATGTTTTTGAGTTGTGTGTTAAATAGATAAATATCTCCAAAAGAAAAAGATATTTATAGATGGAAAAATTTTCAATGATTATGAGAACTTTTAATTAGTATTTGTAGCATCAGACAGACAGCGGGACATGTCCTGTTACACCTGCTCATCTTCATTATACCCTCTTATCATATTCTAGGGTAAGACAAGAGAAACAACGAATTGACCGTACGACTTGTAAAATTGAACAAGCGCAATAGTGGAATTGGTTAGGTATTCAGGAATTTAACACTGAGTCTATGTATGAGCATATGCTTTCTCTTTGCTTTGTTCATCCGTGATTCTGGAATATCCGTAGTCATTGTGTTGCTTTGACTTTCCAAATAACGTTGCCAATTTTACTTCGACTGTGGCACACATTTGCACAGCTGCATTCAATTAGTGCCATTGTCGTTATCTATTGACAAGTGGAGCAACGCTCGAACAAAACTTCAATGTTTCTGCCAAGCATTAGACATTTGGGCCATACAACTGACGGCTGTCGCACGAGCCAGCAAATTCTGTGCTGCACTTGTAATTAATATTAACATGAGACTGTTAATCTGGTTGTGTTCGCTGTGCTTCGTTGCCAATAATGTCGGTGGCATGTTCTTTGAGCTGCCAGGCAACACAGCAGCAGCATCAGCGGATGATGGTACTAACGATGACTTCCTAGGCGGAGCAATAAGTGGGCTAAGCCGATACTTTGGCGGCAAGGCAGACGCTCCTAGACTGAAGCCTGTCAGCCAGCGCAGAGGCAGCTCTAGCCCCGAGACAGCAACAGCCACGATGAAGCCATCATCGTCGGGATTTTTTGATGAAATGGAAACATCTCTCGAACATGCAACCGACACGCTCGACGGCCTGTGGCAGCAATTCAGGCAGGTAATGCAAGTAGCTCAATCGATGGTGCCGGTAAATAGTGAGCTCTTCGTGCATTTCAGGGACTGCTGAATCTGGTGGACAGCTTTAGCGTCGGCGATAATGATGGCAGCATAGACATTGATCAACGCAGTACAACGCCAAAGAGTAACTTACAGCAGCTGGGGACAGTAAGCAGCTGGCGTGTCAAAACAACAACAACAACAACACAAACAGCTGTGCCGACAACAACAACCCCAACAACCTTGCGACCAGCGACTGAATTGGAAACGCCTTTTAGCACGCCGCTTCCATGATGACTTCTAGCACAAGTTCTGGATTCAACTTCTCGACTTTAACACGCAACAAAAGATCAGCTTTCATTAAAATTTATAAAATTTTTATCAAAAGAACCTACTCGAATTAATACACAGCCTACATCGACCGTGGGTAAACACCTTTTTTAAATATTTACACAGCTGTTGGCCAAAAATATTTCACATCGCCGCAATCAGACTAAGTATAAGCACTCTGTCATTTTCGATAGCCATGTTGAGGTGTTGCTTGAATCTAGCTCTGTTGTCGCTGACAATGCACGTGTCTCTGGTGCAGGTATGTGCCGAAGCGTAGAGCAACTGCCTAGAAGGCGAGTACTAATTAACAACATCGCAGACAGCTCCGTTGGAGATAGCTTTAATTGGTATAGATCGCGTAGATCAGATTGGTTATGCTACTGGCACTCTGAGCTGGGATTATCCACTAGCTGACAAACGGGAACTGGTTCCGGAGCTGGAACTGCCGCTGCTGCAAGATCGTTTCGAACAGGATGGTAAGCAACTGTCAGATTAGTTTCTTTTCAATAAAAAGCTATTCAAACTTCTCCGTAGATGTTAATATATGGCAAATGCATTTGCTGCAACTCAACCTGCTGAAGATTTTGATAATATTGGATGTGGTCATTTTTATATTTGTATGCTACGCAATTTGGACATAATATAATGATAATTTTCTACAGTTTAGTTTTTAATAAAACCTGTAAGATAAAGGTATCAAAGTATTTGTTTTATAAGCATCACGAGATTATAGTGTGAGCAATATAATAATGCGTAATACAAGCCGTGAAAGCTACGAAGCTGAAATAAAGCTTTTTTTGGCTTGCGATTGAAAACTAAGATAAAATTGGATATGCAAACAGTGATCAAAGTTTGTATGAAAACCAGCTAAAACAATGAAGGGCCGCTACAGGTAAGATGTCAGCCTTAGACTACCAAACGAAAAGTCGTCGGCTTAACCAACAGCAATACTAGTTTATTTAATTTGTTATTATTCTCACAGTAAAAAGCAACAACAATATATTTAAAAAAAAAAACAAGCAAAAATAAAATGAATGATAGTTCAAAATAATTAACATTTTTCTTTTGTTTATTTTGTCAACGAGTACAATGCTGTCATATGTATTGTTATTCAGTCAATAAATAAGAAACATGTTGTTTATTTTTTATAAGTCAAAACAGAATTAATTTCTTTATTGTAGCTAGAATGGCCCTTTGGCTATATTACAATTAGGTTTGTAGTTAATAGACTGCGTATGACTGTATATAGACGCGTGTTGGCTGGACGCGAGAAAAACCTTCGGATAGTTTTATAAACGCAATAAAGTTTCGCAAGTGCATGTTGCTGATATAAGTGCATGTTACTTTTTTTTTTAATAATATTAAATTTTTGGTAAGAGTATCCTATTTGCTGGCCAAATAAACCGTTATCTCAAAAGGACACTGTAAGGATTCTGATGCAAAGTAGCGTTATTGTGAGTGCAGCTCGCGCCTCTGATGCACAAATAAAAATAGTGAGATAAAGTTGTATGGATTCAATTTGTTGCTACGCTTTTACTTGAACTTTAATACCTGATAGAGCTACTGAGTGTTAAAAATATGTTCTAGTTGGTCAGTAGACTTTCTGCGAGATCAAGAAATGGGTACAGAATGCAGCTCCGGTCATAAGAAATCATTTGTATTCAGTATTATATTTTGGACCTGCATTGATTTCCTATTTCATGTACGTAATAATATTCGCGGAGTCCTAACTGCTGATGACTGAGCTGACGCTTGTAGCAGCTGCCTTGAGCAAAGCGGTCGCTGTAACGACTAGAGTGACTGGAGATCAGATATCTTATAAAGTTTTATATAATTATTGGAGAATTTGAATTTTGGCTTTGATAGCTTCCTGAATAAATTGAACTATCCTATTGGTGAAAGCCGAATGGGTACAAAGAAAGTATGCGCTCAACGTCGCAAAGACTAACAACATGTCTAAAAACAAAAAACCAACAAACAAGCAAAAAACATCAACACACTTCTGGCTCCGTCTAGGCTTAGGTATTCTTAGGTATAGGATTCCGTTGAAGATTTCCTTAAGAGCTTGGATCGCTTTGAACGGAAGCGATGGAGCGAGTGCTGACAGCAAGCGGGTTACCTTGTCAGCATGCTCAGTGCTGGTGTTATTAAAAGGCCTGAATCTTTCTGCCAGATGGTTCACGAACACGTTTGTCGTCTTACAATCTTCTTACTGCTAATACCATTGGCATCCTGCTCCTGGGAGGATGCCTGGGTGGCTGTGGCTTTGTATTACGCGTAAAGTTCATGAGATTGAATTCCGTGTCGTTGTCAGGCTCTGTCACAGACTGTTTGTAGCTAAAACGCTCGCTCAATGAAATTGGCATTATCAGTATATAGAAGCAATAATTATTGCTCATTATCATGAGCTCAACTTACAAAGCTATTCATTTACTGTGGGAACATTGCACATACGCCGCATCAGCCGGTAGTTGCATTTTAAAGTTTTGCAACGTTGCGCTTATATTTGTTGTAGCTGCGCATAATAAATGCACAGCAATTCAATAATTATAAGGCGCTTGATGCCCGTTGAAACCTGAACACTTAACACTGCACACTATGGCTAACACCCTCGAACCCAAAATGCTATGGCCATAACATCATTAAATATTGGCAGCTGCTTATTGGGCAAACAATGCGTGCCAATTGTGTTCGGCTGGTCTGCAGCAGCAGCAGTTGTTCGTACTGTTTGTTTGTTGGCACTTTTCCATAGTTGGCTTCATAAATATTAACAGCTATTAAAACACTGAACTGGAGCATCCATGCAAAAGCAGCCTGAAAATTAATTTTAAAGTTTTAAACCGACTGGCGCGCAGTTTACGCGCAATTTAGCAGACGATGTGAAAACACAACCAGGTCGGGCTCAAACGGCTGGTTAAGCCAAAATGTACATGCACTTGTGCGCACATGCGTGCATGTACGTGTGTGTGTGTGTGTGTCTGTGAATGCCTAAGAGCGTGCAATAGCATTGTGCAGCCTCAATCTAATGGCTCATTTAATTAAAAACGGAAATTGAGCAAGTGACCAAGCACGAGCCGTAGCCAAGTGGTCGGCATAAACTTTTTACCAAGTTCTAGGAAATATTAAAAACGGAAAACACTTTGGGGCAACTAATTTTCTGGCACTGTCCTGCTCGTTTTTTGCTGCTCTTCAGCTTTTGAATCTTTTATGCCCTTACCGAAAGTATTATGATTTTGTCACAAAACACGCATTGTCAAACCAAAAGCATATACTTTATTTTATCTCGTATCTAAGCTGATTAACTCAGAACAAATACTAAGTCTGCGCACTAAATGGTATGTTGTATTAAATTTGTGATTATATATCTTGTATGCCATATTTGTTTTGCAGCTAATTCAACTCAGCAGCTATAAGTCTGTAAGTGTGTTACATTTTCGGCGATTCTTAAATCTTAGTTGCATTCCTTTTTTGCTTTTTGGCTGCTTTTGTGAGCTCAAGACTTGGCCGGCTGTCCACTTCACAGAAAGGGCGGCGCAGCACGTCGAGCTGAGTGCCAAGAAAGGAAGCGAGCGTGGCGCAATTAGCAAGTTTATTGCATGAAATTATGAACCGCTTAATAAAAACGCGCTAAAAAGAATATTTGGTTATGCATGGCTGAGAGCGAGTGTGTGCGCATATTAAAAAAAAAAGTGGGCGGCGCACTTTGAGCCAAGCGAGTTAATTAAAAGGTTCACATATTTGAAAAGTTCGCCTCGCCCAACAAGCGCAACGCAGTTTAATCATGTAAGTGCTGGCAAATTGTCGGCTAAAATTCGAGCCAGATAAATATTGCGCATACGCCTAGAATGCGCGTTAAAAGGATGCTGCTGGTTGGCTTTTGTTGTTCCTACTCCTACTGATGATGCCGAGTTTTATGCTAATGGCTTTCGTTTAAAGCCAAAAGTAATTTATTGTTGTCAGTGGGCACCATCAAAAATGTTGCTGCACATTCATTATGCCCAAATGTATGCGCCTCCGTGTATGTGGTTGTATGTGTTGTATGTGTGTGCGTATTTGTGTTTGTGTATGTGCATTAAAATTTTAGCCGAACATAAAGCCACCTCCCAGCGTCGCTGGCGAGCTAAAAACTTGCATAGAAATTAAGTTAGCCAAGGGGAAAATGCTTGAAAATATAATAAAATGTTATGCCGCATGTCTCGCAGCTATTTGTTGTACAAACTCTTATTATACGCTTCACACATGCAAATTTTAAAACAAGGCCAAAGTTTAGCTGTGTACATTTATATTTAAATCAGATGCAGATATTACGAACTCTATCAATTGCAAATATATTTAAAAATACAGTTTTAATTAGTTATGCTCCGCATGGTTCCGGTATTAATTTCCTCTGGACTTCCTCTTAAGTATCGGTTGTTCATAATAATAGAAACACACCGGTTATGGATAGCTTTTATCATGTTCTGACAACAATCAAATTCAATTGTTTATGACTTTTGTTGTTTGTTTTTTGCTCTTTCATTTTACACGAATAAAATTTCTAATAAATATGGTATGTTAATATTTTTATTTATTAATAGATTGATATTAAATTTTATATTTTTAAAATATTTTCATTCACAGTTGAAGCACGTCGACTTAATAATTTCTAGGTTCGATTTTCATATATATGTTTTTTTTTTTCAAAAAAGGGCTCAGTATTTAGTTAATTGCATAACTTTTTCATTGTTCTTTATTTAATATTAATTATTAAAGTATTATTCATACGAGCAGAGAACATTTCAGAACTATGTGAATCCATACATAAATATGTTAAAAGAAAACTTATGACGAGCGAAAACTATTGATGGTAAAAATATGAAACTATTCAGAATTAATTTTGTGGTAAGGCTTCTCCTACCAGAGCAAATGTTACACTAAACAGGAAAACCAAAATTGCATGCGTTGCATGTATACGAAATGTATATTTTTTCGTTTGCTTAAGAACAAAACTTAAATATTTTAGCAGGCGGTTTTCGCTACCCACGCGAC